GTAATGAGACTGAGAGCCAATGTGTTTGTGTTTTTGCTTCTCTTCTCATGAGTGATATTCTAAAATTATAGTACAACAACAGATTATGAGTGTCCCAAAAGAACCCTCATCAATCAAACTCACATCTTTTCTTGCTTGCGTACAAAATGGTTTTGACTCACACTTGTCACTGTGAGTTGCTAATCTCACCAGCTAGCTCAGCCTCAAGAATTGACTCCTGCAACAACAATGTTATCGAGAATGCATGTTATCTTAAAGGGCAATTCAATCAATATAGTGAATGAAAAAAATGATGATGTTGTTCACATCAATCTTATTTATTGGCAGATTATGTGTTGCCGCTGAAGGAGGAGGAGGGGCTTTGGATAAGTCTCTAAGAACCCCTGAAATTATCGAAGACAAATGTTACTGTTTGGTTTTTCTATTTAGTAAGTAGGAAATAGAATAGACTGATCAATGAGACAACCAAGTACTGTTAGAAGAAAATGAATAATGAACGTGTTATTATTAGCTTATTACCTTGTTTTCTCACATTAGTCCACATGCATTACAAAGTGTTCTTGGTCCTTCAGGTCCACGTCGCATCATTGGAGTTGACTTCTCACTAGGTCTCAGTTACTGTATCCTAAAATTTGTTAGTTCCATGGTTATATGTGATGCCTTGATGATGATAAGACAAACTTTCAGAGTTGAAGTAACCCACTAACATCTGCTGAGTTTAATATAATAATCTCTGTAAAAGTATAAAAGCATATTGTTCAACTTACAAAGCCTCTGGCTTCTAAGACTCAGTCCCATCCAAGGCCCAGCTCTGGCCTGGCCCCCAATCCGATCCATTGGATGTAGGCCCAGCTCTCCATCCGCCACCACTTCCTCTAAACCCACAAACACGCCAAAACATTAGAAATGGTATCTTTCTTTGTAAAGACAGAACATTAGTAAGTAATGCTGGAAGCCACCTGTCTCATAATAGCTTGGATCTCCCTCATTATGTCATTATCACTCTTCTCCCTCGATACACTGAAAAAGGCCAAAAATTTAATATGCTGAAAACAAAACTTCAAAAACAGTAATCAACATTTCAAAAAATACAGACCCTTTCTCAACAACTTTAGAATCAGTCTCAATACGGAAGTTCCACCTCTCCAAGACTTCACCAGTAGCTTTGCTCATTATCACCAACACTACTCTCTGCAACTTCCCAGCTTCAAGCCACTCTTTTTAAACATCACACAACAGTATATGATCAGTCTCTCTATAAGACTCATAGAAAAAGAAAAAAAAAGACAGAATCTTTTTCTAATTACTGGAAATTAATCACTGTTAACAGCAAGAAAGGTCGTCATGTGAGGAGCAGTATACCTGAAGATTTTATTAACAACGCTGTGATAAGTATTCTGAGAAATAAAATAAGTATATCGATGTATATAAAATTATGTACACAAAAAGTATTGTCATCTATATCTATTCTAGATATGAAGTAAAGAAAATACTAATTGTATATCAAAATGATAAGAAGGCTAACCTCCTTTTAATAAATTAAGATCATGCAATTGAGTAAGCAGCGTCTTTGGGCATGCAATTCTCAGACATCTTGAATCTGTTTCAGGATATACAAACAGAATAAATACATAACCTTATGAATCGTGTCATATCATAGATAAAGAAAAACACTGAAATGAACTAACAGTCAATAAAAAGAACGCAGACAGAGATAAGAGACCTGGGAACAGCAGCACGGACATATCTGGAAGCAAAAATGGAATGCAAATGCTCTTCAGAGTCAGAGTTCGTGGCGAGTACCATTGTTTCTTTTTTGAGTTGTGCGGAAATGTTTAAACAGCATGGGAAAATATATAATCAGATTTGACAGATATAAAGAAAGCAAAACTCTCTATCACTAATTTAAGACATTCATGTGACTGACTCCTCTCTTTTCTAATCCCCCTTGACTCTCTTTTCCCTTTGAATTAGGTTTGGTACACCACTTATATTCATTTAACACAATTATCTCGTCAGACAGAACAACTACATCACAATAATAAACACGAACTGGAGTAATACAATTGATCTTGTGAATAGCCTAAAGAGCCTTGTGAGCCGGATCAAAAACAAAACTGAGCAGAAGGGTTTGATGTTTGTTTACCTGTGAACTTGGAAGATAAATTTTTACTCTTCATAGTGATGTCAGAACTTATGATGATGATCATACTGATAGATGAAGAAGCCATGCTGAGCCACACCCAAAGGTCTTAAGCTAGCATCAGAGATTTGAACAGGTCTTATCATCGACCTTAATCTGAAATGCTATTCCACGTGCAACGCATGTTGGTTCAAAGCTCGACCGAAACACACAAAACATAAAGAGAGGATTAGCAAGTGTGAGATCATATTCTAGTAGTTTCTAATTGTTAGGTATTTTATGTTGTTGTGTTTGCATTTTTATGACCAAAACACACACAACATAGAGAGAAGATATCAAGTAAGAAAGAAACCTTATCTCTTCTCTCTCTAGGCTCTATAAGACCTGTTCAGATCTCCCTCCGGACCGGCGTCGCGTATGTGTGTGAGCGCCGCGTGAGTGCCCGGCTTCGGCGGGTCCTTCTCTCCTCTCTTCCTCGGTTTCTATTTGCCTCTTGTCTAGTCCATGACGGTCTCTCCGCCTTGCTTGAGCTTCTGAGTTTGAGATTCTGAGTCGCCGGTCAATCTCTGTGCAAGGATCTTATTTCGGGTAAGGTTTGTGCTCTCTTTGGAAACTCAGTGCGTAGTAGCAGAGTGGCTGGAAAGTGGTCGGCGTTTAGGGTTGGAATTGGACGTTTTCCCTTTCAGATCTGCTCCATTATTGTCGTCGTTTGATGATGGTGTCCGGTTCGTTTCTGCTTCTGCTTGCGGTGGTTTCTGCCATGGTGAGGTTTGTAAATCGATCTTCTTTCGAGTATTGAAAGCCAAAATAAGAGATTGAAGAGGATTTGGAAGATCGTGCGTAGAGTTATAAAGATCGAGTAACAAAAATGATACGCAGGAAGAGGAAGCGCCCTCAAACGAAGGATCGCGAAGAAGATGACCACTGACTTCATGATTAACGGGCCAGAGTCGAAGCCCAGGAAGACATAAACAAAATAGTAAGGCGATGACGTGTATGATTAAAGTAATCCAATTGGTTGATTAAAAATGCACACGTGGACATGCTCATTTGGCTTTATATGCTACTTTTATTCATAGTAGATATACTACTATATTGATAACATAAGACATTTTTTACTTGTCACACACTTTTGGTGTGGTGTTTGTCAAATATACCCTTCAACTACATAAAACTCTCGTTCCTTCACATACCAATTTTCTAGTTTTTTAATTGTTTTATGTATTAACTTTTTAAAAGACAAAATAAGAAAGCACTTTCCCAATTATGTTTCCTACTCGTTAACCCTAATTTTGATTAAAATTGATTCTCTCTCTTTCCTAAAGATAGTTATTCAATGTTGGAATCCTTATTGATCTCGCGTCGCCGTGCTCCAGCTCCTCATCCTCGACTGCTGCTGAACACGCCATGAATCCCAAGCTCTCTGTGGATGGACACCAGTGTTTGCTCTTCTAGGGAACAATATAGTCAAACGTGGTCTCATCCAGAGAGCACATTGTGAGTTTTCCAAGTCTAATTCTGCAAGAAACTATGCTCTGAACCGTTCAAGAGCTCTGTAGGTGACATTAACATCTTTTTGTTTCTCTTTTTCAGTTGTTTTTTGAGTTTCAATTTATTTTGAGATTCATAATAGTTTCTGTTGATCTTTATCTTATAACTCTCAAAGTTTGAATATTTTGGACGAAAAGAATTAGTTAGTCCTGAACACTAGATAAATATATTTAATGTATCTGGTATTAATTAAATATACTTAAAATTCCGCCTGCTCTAAGTAGTCTTGGATTTTTTTTTTGTTTTCATTAAATCGTTAGACTTAGTTAAGCCGTATGTCTAACATCTCAACATTATTAATTAATAGAAGTTTTATTTACCTATCTAACCATTGGAAGAAAAGAATTAGTTAGTCCTGAATACTAGATAAAATATATAATATATCTGGTATTAATTAAATATACTTAAAATTCCGCCTGCTCTAAGTAATCTTGGATTTTTTTTTTGTTTTTCATTAAATCGCTAGACTCAGGTAGACCGTATGTCTACCATCTAGTGAATTTGGGAACAAAAGTTTCACCACACGTACACATTACTTGATGATGTCATCAGAGGGAAAGAGAGAGAAGAACGAACAAAATCCAGTGTTAGTAATACTTTGCAGTTTAGCAGGATTACTGTCGATCAAAAACAAAAACATGAATAATTTGGCTCAAAGACTTTAGAACAAGTTACTTTTTCTTCCCAAAAAAAAAGTTACTGTACTTTTCTTTTCTTAACGATTGAATAAGAAACTACATCAATTATACTACTTTTACTCCTAGAGAGATTCACCAATTGAAATCTGACCTTTTTTTGGAAATAATGTAAACCAAATCTATGAATCAAAAGAAACAAATTATATGTAAAAGGAAAATTTCCTTTTTCTTTTTTTAATTTCTTTATGAACACTTCCTATTTCTATAGAAAGAATCTTTTTTCTCTCGCTTGTCTTACAAGTTATATGTTTTTAAAATGTTTTTCGTATCCATTTATGTTTAGCCAATTAAAAAAAAAAATCATAACCAAATTTATAGTTAGATAATTTAGATAAGTCTTGAGAGTGCATCATGTGATGTCAATAATACAACAATTAAAAGAAGATAATACTCTGGTGTATACGACCGTCTATTTAATACCAACGTTAACTAGGAGAACGAGTAATTAGGCTCTATATATATAATCCTTAGACAGATCAACTCTCAGAAATTATAACCTAAATCTCCAACAAGCTTTTGCGATCATCAACAACAGGAAAACCCTAAAGCTCTGATCAAGTTTTTTTTTTTTTTTTTGAGAAAAGCCCTGATCAAGTTTCTCTTCAACAATGGCCAATACTTGTAGAATCAGCTTAATCTGCATCATGGTACTCTTGCTCTTCACTAATCACTTAGCTTTTCCTTCTTCTGCACGGCTCCGATTTGTAGAAGGTCAAGATCTTGTACACGGGAAGCAAAACAATCTCTTGAAACTTGATGAGATTGAGAAAGCTGATAGGGCACGTCTCGATTACTTGTTTGGCATGATTGATGAGGAGGCCGAGACCACTCACGTTGAGGAGGTTGATTGTCGCTCGCTTCGTGTTGCTCCAAGCCTCTATATGTTCGAAGGTGTTATAAGCACGTGCTCATAATCTATGATGACTCTGCTCGTACGAGGCATATGAAAGAGAACAATAAATCTTCATTGGTGGAGATGGAAGTAACTGAATGAATAATACTATAATAGGATAGAGTTTCTGAAATTTGATGAATAATACTCCCTCTCTTTCATTATAAGTGTCACTCTACAGCTGTGCACACGGATTAAGAAAACAATTAATTTTACATATTTCCTATATAAAAGCACAGTTACCCATACACCTAACCATATTTTAACCAATAGAAAAACAAATTACATAATAAAACTAATAAATTTTGTATTGAAAACCGAAAACGACACTTAATTTTGTAACGCAAAAAATTCTCTACAACTACACTTAATATGAAACGGAGGGAGTATGAGAATTACTTGCTCTCTGTATTACATGTTATGCACTTGAACAATTATATTTTTTACTTTATGATAAGATTGTATCTGGATTGAGGACAGAGATCAATTTTATCCTAGTATATCTAATGAAACAAATTACATCTGTAGGATATAATAAACATATAAATAGTTCATACACCTTAATAAGGCCATACATGATACAATTTATTCCATAATCCTTCTGATTTGTTTGAGACCTTTTAAAAGAAGAGACCTGTTGAGGTTAACCCCAATGAAAAGCAGCATTACACTAGCTTTCCAATAACCTCTTTAAAGCAGGCTTACACTAGTAGTATCACTTACACCATCTCCATTAATTAATCATATATAGCACTAATTAATCAGACAGTGTATACAGCTTCAAGGTAGAAAATTTAGGAGCCACAAGCCGCTGCCTTCTTTAAATAAATCTTCATTCATAATATTCAGTACAAAAGAGAAGAGAGACGTGATTTTGATTCTACGTAAACTCTTTAAGTGTGGCACAACAATACCCCCTAAGGAGCAGGAAACACTTGTCCATATGATCTTAATCAAATTATCCTTAGCTTTGAGAAAATGATATGCGGATGTCTTTGTGTTCACCAGCCTGTCAATGGACCAAAATACTTTAACACCATGGCACACGTGAGGATAACCAGAATTCAATACACAGACAATTTTCTTAAACATCTCCATTAATCATATAAGACTCAGAACCAGACAGGCAGTTTACAGACCTTGAAGGTATAGGAATTCAGTGCATTCTGAAGCAATTTAACTGCAAGTCATCAAGTATTCCATTTTTTATAATGGAATGTAACTGCAGCAGCTCAACAATCCCTGGTACTAAGATTTTATACCTTTTTCTAGATCTTGATGATAATCTAGAAGATCACGATCGATATGGTTATGTGGGTCTATTAGGACGTGCTCAAGAGTGATGCAGCCCAAGACATGGATCTAGACATTATCAATTCCACTCCCGTATAGGAATGGACGTTTTCTCTACTATTGGTTTTGTTTCCCTTTTTTTTTTTTTAAGTTTAGCGTTTTATATTTGGAAAAGGAATTCTTTATTCCTTCAGGATTTGGGTTTTCTTAGTTAGTATTTATAGAGGTGTTCAACCTTCGTTATTGACACAGATTATTTGAATAAGATTTCTAAGTTTTTAAAGAGCTTTTGCAAAGCACCGCAAAGAGTATTCGCGCCTTATCGTTCCTGAATTCGTTGAGACTTCAAGAACACGTTACCGACTTGTTAATCAAACCATTGATTCAACAAGTTATAGCTTCCGCTCTCCATCAGTTGGTATCAAGATCAGAACTTTTCGGGAAAGAACTTTGTGTTTTCAATGGTGAAGAAAACAACTAGTACTAGTGGTGATACCCGGGATCACAATCCGGATGACACCACAACGGAACTTGCTGACCTTCGTGATCTGATCGTTGAAGCGCAGACAGCAACACACACATCCATCCAGCAAACACACACTTCCATTCAACAACTTGGCGACACGGTGGGAACCCTAGCGGCCCGTATTACTGCCTTAACAACAGCTTTGACGACTCGAGTTAACGCTCACATACCGCTCGTCGTTGACAATCCCATACCACCGGCACACCATCAAAGTCCACCACCAAGACGAAAACTACCATTACCGCTACATCATCAACAAAATCCGCACTGACGACGCAACCTTAGAGATGACAAGAGAGCACAACCAACTCATTCAAATGACGAGGAAGAGCTTCATCGTCAAGTCTATCTTCAGGACTTGCAACGTCGTGACAACAATAATAATAACTGGGAAAAGAGTTTTAGAGTCGATATTCCTTAATTTCATGGAGGGTCACGTGGCCATGATCTCGTCAACTGGTTGATTTCAGTAGAAGAGATACTCGAGTTTAAACAAGTACCCCCAGCACGTCGTGTCCCCTTAGTCGCTATGCTCTTCCGAGGTCATGCCGCAACATGGTGGAAAAAACTCAAGACAACTCGTTCTCGAACCGGCAAAGCTCCAATTCAGTCATGGCATAAACTTACCAAACATCTTCGACAGACCTTCTTGCCACATAATTATGGGCGTACGATGTATACACGGTTACAAAATCTTCGCCAAGGTAAGAATTTGCGTTAGTATTAACTCGTAATGAGATTAATGATACCCAAGTTCAACTCGTTTCTCGTTTCATCAGAGGTCTACGTCCGCAGCTTCAAACAGCTATGGCTCAGTTTGACCCATCTACTATTGGTGAAGCTCATAGGCGTACTTCTTCTTTTGAGCAACAAACGCGTTCATCTAGTTGAACTCGCACACAGGATCAGATAGGAAGCAGTACACCATCAACATCAGCGAAAGATACCGGAAATGGCGCAAATTCCTCAGAAAAACCATCCACACAAGAAGACTTACAACCACGCCGTTCATCACGACCGAATGCCTTACGTTGCTTCTCTTGTGGAAAACATGTCCATCGTCAAACAACATGTCCTCATGCAACCCGATGAGGATTAGTCGTTGATGATACCGTCAACAATCAGGACGTATATGACTCACAGGAAGAAGAAGACCAAGTCGACGACGATATTCAACACACCATGGGAGACACGGGTCACTTATTAGTCCTTCGCTAAATTTGTCTCACGCCTCGTCGTTACGACGCAAAGTGGCTGCGTGCTAACATTTTTTGGTCAACTTGCACTATCAAAGACCGAGTCTGTACCTTTGTTATTGATTCTGGGAGTAGCAGAAACGTCATCTCTCAGGAAGCGGTGGACAAATTAGGCATCGCTAGGGAAGTACACCCAGAACCTTATACTCACGGGTGGTTACACGAGGGCGTAAGTATGTGTGTTGCCCGGCAGGCTCTCGTACCCTTCTCCATCGGACCTCATTATAAGGATCGAATCTACTGCGACGTGGTCCCTATGGATATCAGCCATTTATTATTGGGAAGACCTTGGGAATGTGATAGAAATATCATCTACTACGGAGCTGATAACACTTATCAATTCACATGGGACAACCAGAAAAATATTGCTTCTTCCATCCAAGGACACAATTCCTATCTCTCCAGTCTCTGCTTTGCCGCCTCCTGCAACGACAACACCAGCGGCCCAAACATCGTTATTATGTTCTTACAAAGCATTTAAAACAGAACTGCATACGGAAGGCTTGGCGTTTTCTCTTGTTCCTACGACTACCCATCATCTTCTCAACACAACAATTCACAACGACATTGCATCAGTCGTACACAAGTTTCAGGATGTCTTTCCAACGGACCTACCAAACTCTTTACCTCCATTACGAGACATTCAGCATCACATTGATCTTGTTTCAGGGGCAACGCTACCAAACCGTCCGCATTACCAAATGAGTCCTGATGAACATGAAGAACTCCGCAGACAAGTCGAAGAGATGCTACGCAAAGGGCACATTCGCGAGAGTCTAACTCCTTGCACAGTTCCTGCTCTCCTCTTACCTAAGAAGGATGGGACATGGCGTATGTGCATTGATAGTAGGGCAATTAATAAAATCACAGTGCGCTATCGCTTTCCCATTCCTCGCCTCGACGACCTCTTAGACCAAATTGGTTCAGCGTCTATTTTCTCTAAAATAGACCTTAAAAGTGGTTATCATCAAATTCGAATCCGACCAGGAGATGAATGGAAGACAGCCTTTAAAACGAGGGAAGAATTGTTTGAATGGCTCGTGATGCCTTTTGGCTTATCTAATGCGCCTAGTACTTTTGTGCGCATTATGAATCAGTCACTACGACCATTCATTGGAAAGTTTGTCGTCGTATACTTCGACGACATATTAATTTTTAGCTCCTCCCTTGGCGACCATATTTCACATCTTCGTGACATCTTGCGTGTGCTGCGCTGTGATCAACCCTTTGCAGCAAAACAAAAATGTGAGTTTGGTGTACCTGAAGTTTTATTCTTGGGATATGTTGTTTCGGGACAAGGATTGGCGATGGATCAATCCAAAGTTGAACTAGTACGGTCATGGCCTATTCCCAAGACCACTTCTGAGGTTCACAGTTTTCATGGGTTGGCTTCTTTTTATCGTCGGTTCGTTAGCCATTTTAGTTCGATTAAGGCACCTATTACGAGCTGTATGAAAGAAGGAAAGTTTACTTGGACCTCCGCGGCAACATAAGCATTCGAATTAATTTAAACCAAGCTCACTACCGCACCGATTTTAGTCCTTCCTAACTTCGACGAGACATTTGAGTTGCGTAGTGATGCGTCCAAACCAGGTATTGGTGCAGTTCTCAGCCAACGAGGACGTTCGATTGCTTACTATAGTGAAAAATTGGCCGGTGCTCGCTCCCGCTATAGAACTTACGATGTGGAGTTTTATGCCATCGTCCAGGCTATAAAACATTGGACGCATTACCTTGTGCACCGTGAATTCATTCTCTTTACTGATCATGATACATTGCGTCACCTTGATAGCCAGGCCAAGATATCTGCTCGACATGATTCATGGATCTCTTACCTACAACAATTCACCTTCTCCATCCGTCACCAGTCTGGCAAATCAAACCGCGTTGCAGACGCCTTAAGTCGCTATCACAATGTCCTCACCGTTATGGAAACCACCGTCGTCG